GAAAATCTCTTTACCAAAGACCAACACTCCTCCTTTTATATCAAATAACTTGCACGGGTGCTCTTTAAGGTAATCTCTCTTAACTCTTGTTTTCAACATAGCGTACACGAATCAGCTTCACTTGTTTACAGTCAGACTGTTTTCTGAGTCTAGACTCTGCAGATAAACTTTCCTCAAAGCACAATCTGAAACTCGTTTTCACTTTGGTATAGCTCAGAAGTCATATTTATTGCTTTCATCAAACTCAGCCATACAAAACATGTAGACCCAGATTTCTTGATCAAACTTTGCATTTGTCATCAGAGACAAATACGAGACTGCTACAACCAGTCAAAACTTTCTGACAAGATCTTCATCACTGTCCCTCATTGATGATTGCAACATCACCAAGCTGGCCACGAATTGAATCTCTCACTTTTCAGTGCCTCTTTTTAGAACCAAGCAGAGATACTAAAAGCAAGCTATGACCAATGTCTCATCACCTCAAAACCAATAACCTTTTTGTATTTTAACGCTAAGTAGAAAAAAGCTCTTCTCTTCCTCCATATTCTCTGAACTGAACTGAATTCACTTTCACACGTCCCCCTCTGAATTTGTAGGTAGAGCCAGTGTCTTTCGCAGCCACCTGAAACCATTCTTGATTTGAGAGACCCCAGAAAATCGTTGAAAAAAAAATCAATCATGAGACTTATCTTTCATCTAGAATTCTCAACCAACATTTGAATGTTCTCAAAACCACAGACATGTTTTTACTTTAGAACACTGGAATCAGATATTACGACAGCCAATCGCATATATCCTTATTACAAGAAACTGTGAGCGCCAAAGTTGTTCTTTGTGAATCTGACACTGATCTGTCATCAACCAATGAACTCGATTTTTGTTTGTGTGTTTGCAGCGGATTCTTCCAACATATTTGCGCTTTTAACCTGTTTCAAGGTCAAGCTAACCATGGTATATTCGAGAATTCTATCTGCAGCTTTGTCTCTATCATATATTGAGCTGAAATCTAACGCATATCGTCAGAACAAAGTGCATCCAATCCATCAGCTTATGGAGCATACACAAGATCCAGAATTTCACTACTTCTGATCTTCATATGCTTAACTTGTCTCCTATATCTTAATGCAGCATGATTCTTCCTTTCAGCAGCAACTGAGACACCATAACCATGATTTACTTGAGACTTTGTCTTTGTAACAATCTGTCAAAACAAAGTTTTCTCACCAAAACAAAATCCAACACCTCAAAAACAGCCCCTTCAAAACTAACTGCATCAGATTTTCGATTCAACATTCATCACACATCGACTTAGTATGAGACCCAAAAAGAATCAGAGGCGTCTCTCTGCTCACATCAGCAGACACTCATTGTAATTTAACAGAGCTTGACTCCTACTAGATTGCAAATCATGAACGTTCTCAAACGGATCCCGAAAACATCCTTTTTCTTTAAGATTTGCAGCAGACGCTGATCTTTGTGAGCTGATGAGTTAAATCTGATCTGTTTAATCTTGAATCAACACAATTGCCTTATCTTTGTTAAACCAACCATGAACTCATTTCAAGATGATTTCCAATTCACTATCTCTGCATTTTGGCAATTCTACAACAAAGAGCTTCTCGAAGATCTTGACATTTCTCTAAAGATTCACAATCCAATCTGAATGATACATAACTTCGAAACCTGAGTAGGCAAATTCACGCTGAAGACATAGACTTGAAATTTCGGAAAACTCGGAACAGAATCGCAATTCCCTTCTGCGGTTAGTATTAGCACAACCCACGAGATGCAAAGAGAAACCCCAACAAACGAAAGGTCTTGAACAGCCACAAACTTTCAGAAATCTAGACTGTTGTACTTGGTTTCTTGATTCTCCATAGCCTTTCAACAAGTTATCTGACCTGAGGTAACGCCTTTCTGAATTCAGACACCAAAATTTAGCACTAACTGTAGCAAATTTCCCATCTCATATCTAAGATTTCTTCACACTACTATTAAGACTATTGTTAATGTGCTTTTTCCTCTTGTTACCACCAGCAAATGCAAGCGAACTCTGTTATAATTTTCCACTCTATCTTCCCAAATAACTGGTTACTTCTTTAATCGACGTAGCTCAACAAAAAGAATCCAGTTTGATTCAGACAAAAGACTTCCTCGATGTTGTGTGCTAATCAACAAATCTCCTTATAACCATCAACGTCGTTGACCTTCATCAACTTACAAAGCTTCAGATATCTCAGCCAATCCTTTTTTCTTTGTACGGACATCTCTACACCTTCTATAAATCACTGCTCCAGAGACCTTCAAAGCTCACGGTTTTATCATAGGCTACAGCAACCACAATAGATTCTCTTCTCTCTTCCGAGTAATCTCAGCGCCTATAACTCAAAATTATTCGATTATAGCATAATGTGCATTGGGAGCTAACCTCTACTTTGTTTTCAGGAAGAACAAACAAGAACCTTTGCAGATTCATATAAACGCTCCAGACCATATCAATGTACCCTCTAATTCATCATCAAATCAATCGTGACAGCAGAATAGCGAAGATAACTGAACTTTGCCAAGTCAAAGGAAGACCGAAAGCTCTTAAACTCTTGGTGTCGACTCGTAATTTCATCACCCAAAACTCAAGCAACCCCAACTACTGAACACACTGATGCAAGACAGCATATTTATAGATATATCGTTATCTGACACCTGATTGGGCCCTTGCAGACAATTGATTAAAGCCCATCTTGCTAGCAACTCCACTTTATGCTTTAGACAGCCCAATTCATGTGATTCTTCTTCCACGATGGCTTCTTTTCGTTCCACAACGACGACCACCCACAACCTAGAAGAGGTTTCTCATTGTAATTCTCAGAAAATCTTCATCAATAACTGAAACCATCTCCAAATCTTCATGAATGGCCGTGAACCTTAACTCAGAGGAGTTTCTTTCCATGACTTTTGTTTCCTTGATTTGTTCACCACTTAACATTATCATGAACGAACCTTTCCTTTCTCATCGCTTTGAAACCGCTAGCCACAAATCCAGAATCATACCCGAAACAAGAACAGATCTCTGTCGAGAACCCTCTCTGATACCAATTGTAAGTGCATATTTGTGGCCTTAACTACGTTCGATCGATGATAAGAACAAACAAACATATGAAGTGCCTAAACTAAAGTACACACAACTTTGTTAACGGGGTTCGGTTTTCTTACATCCCACGGACCTCGTCCAGAATGATTTTATTAGAACAAAATAATAATTACATGATTGTATGCAATCTTTTTTACATAAACTCCTACTGTGAATTCTGACACATTCTATCTTTCTGTGGATTGCTCGATTCATAGGAACACCACCAACAGAGCTTATAGATTTACATCTTCTCTGTCTGGTAGAGGCGACGCCACACTCACATGTGCTTCTATCAATGATACCCTAGGTGTGCACGGTCTTCATGAGATGGCCTCGGTATATATACTAATCGTTTAACCTTAAAACCTAGGATCTCCGGCGATTACAGATAGATACAACTTGCTCTTTCAAGTTTATCTACTTACCCAATCTGTTGCAACATATATAACATATCCTAGCAACTTGGTCCAGCTTAACAAGCCACTTGCCACATCATCTTTTGGTCGACGCCAAGTCCTTACCTGCTGATACGATGTCTGATACATCCTCTGATGTACCAGGTCTTAATACACATTCTGATACCTCCTCTGCTGTATCAACACTTACACCAAATACTTTCTCAGAATCTGCTTTCAAATACTACCTCAGCTTGTATGTCAGTTCCATTTCAATGTCTTTTGCCTGAACTGCCACAACTTCTATATCGATATTCTAACTTTGTATCTCTGTTTCATCTGTCACAGTAATTGTAGCACATCCTGTTCTAGCAGTTTCTCTAATCAGTCAGCAATATATCTTCACAATTATGTTGAATGATCACAACGAGTGGAAAAGCCGCACCGTGCCGTGTTCTCCAGGTAGAGCCAAAGTTTCCATGCTTAGGTCTATCTAATAAATGTTGCAGACAAAAGGTCTATGGAACTTTTAAACAGGCAAATCAGAGATGTGCCAATACTATTCTTTGTCTTAGACAAATAAGGAGAAGTAGTTAAAAAAAGACAAATAAGGAGACAAAAATTACGTTTACAAGTTGAATAACTAAACAATGACGTATTTATATTACAAAAAAATATTGTTATTTTTGACAGAATTTCCCACAAACCATATTTTGTTGAAATTTTTCAGTGGAATTATGACGATTTTGTGAGTAGAGGCTAAACTAACAAATTTCAGCGACAAAAAATCTGTAGAAAATTTGTCAGAAACTTGCGAAGGATTTCCTATGCAATAAATATGTAGAAAGCTTCCAATAGTTTTTAACAGATTTTATAGTCGTTTAAAAAATTATAATTGTTAATTAGTCATTTAAACATTGTTAGAGATTCGTGGGAAACCTGTAGGAATGTCATCGAAATCTTCCCACTGATTTTCGACTGAATGAATGATGAATCTATTGCTGATTTCCGACAGATTTAGTAGCCATTTGAAAATGTAACATTGTTCAAAACATATTTGTTAAGTCATTGTTATTTTCTTAGTTTTTTTTTAACATCTCATACAATCTTAGTTTTTATTTATTTCATCGTCACTTGACCTAATTATTCTATTAAAAGCTTTTTCGTTTATAGTTGTTGTCCTGGCACATTTATTGTATATCTAAAAAATGATATACTACATTTTTCTTACGTTATACTATTTGTTTAGATTAAATATTGCGAAAGAAAAGAGCCACATATAAAACGAGGACAGCGCACCGTAGCCAGTAGGTGGTATTGTCTTTTTTAATCATATATTTAATTAGTTAAAACACGATTTTCATATATTTAATTAGTTAAACTAATAACATTTATCCCAAACAGCACGGGGCATGTGAGTATATATGCATAGACGCGTCGTCCATAAAGGATCACAGCTCAAAACAGATAGTAAGTATCGATCAAGTAAAGAAGAGTGAGAAGAAGAGAGATCATGGCGACTACTCCAAAATGGATCATGATGGGAGGAGAAGGTCCTGAGAGTTACAACCAGAATTCCTCGTATCAAGTATATATAAAAGATTTTATATTTATATCTAAGATTTAAAATTCAAACATCTATATGTATGTATAACAATCTCCTCTTTCATTTGGGTATACAGCGAGCATTGTTGGAAGCAGCAAAAGAAAAAATGAACGAGGAAATCTCAGCCAAACTCAGCCTCGACTTGATTTCTGATCGATTCACTGTAGCGGACTTTGGTTGTGCCAGTGGGCCTAACACTTTTGTGGCGGTCCAAAACATAATAGATGCTGTAGAAGACAAGTACCGCAAAGAAACTGGACTAAACCCGGCAGACATCGAGTTCCAAGTCCTCTTCAACGATTTTACAACCAACGATTTCAACACTCTCTTCCAGTCACTTCCTTCGGGAAGAAGATACTATAGCGCCGGGGTTCCGGGTTCCTTCTTCGACCGTGTTCTTCCTAAAGAAAGTTTCCACATAGGAGTCATCAATTACGCATTTCACTTCACCTCCAAAGTCCCTAAAGGGATCACAGACCGTGACTCACCCCTATGGAACAAAGATATGCATTGCACTGGCTTCAACCAAGCGGTCAAGAAAGCCTATCTTGATCAGTACTCGGCCGACGCCAAGAACCTATTGGACGCTAGAGCTGACGAACTAGTCCCCGGGGGATTGATGTTGCTTTTCGGATCGTGTCTAAGAGACGGAGTTAAGATGTCCGAGACCAGTAAAGGAATTGTGTTGGATATTGTTGGAGCTTCTCTTAATGATCTTGCTCAACAGGTACATACAAATTCTGGGATGTTAACTAATTAAACCAACACGTACAAATTACACAACTAACAATATCTTCTTCTTGATTTAAAGGGTATCATCGAACAAGAAAAGGTGGACTCATTCAGCACGCCACTCTATTTCGCAGAAGAAGGCGAGTTGAAGCAAATCATAAAGGAAAACGGGAGATTCACAATCGAGGCTTTTGAAGATATCATTCATCCAAAGGGAGAGTTTACGTTAGACCCCAAGATCTTGGCCGTTTCTTGCAGGGCCTCCTTTGGAACTTTTCTATCCATACAGTTTGGAGAGGAGGTCATTACGAAGGCCTTTGTGCTCATCGAGGCCAAGGCACGCGAAGAGCTTCCTCGCCTCCAGAATGCTAAACCTGGAATGCAGTACCTCATCGTGCTCCGCAAGAAGTGATGATCCAAATATTTTGTTATTATCTCTCAATGTTAATTTGTGTTACAATTATTGTTTCGTCGGTGCTTTCTTTTCCTTTTTATTCACTTGCTGTTGTAGCATGTTTGAATTTTCTCCAATCCTACGAGGCTATAAATTAATTAATAAATGTCTCTTTACAGTTTGATTTAGCAATGTTGATGAATAATATGGCTCGTAGAAGGTTATTCCTTAATTTATTGTGTATTTTCCAGATCGCGTATAATGCCAAATGAAACTATTTTCCTTGAAAGACCTGCCCATATCGATCCTTTGAAACAAATTAGTAAAACAAATTCATGGCTTAGACAAAGCCATGTGCAAGTTAAGCACAACGCGATGTACAATGTATTGAACATATGAGTTGTATTGTTCTGTACTATGAGAAATATTACAAGGAATATATATAGATATATATATATATAAAGTTACAAGAGTCAAAGTATTAATGATTGAGAGATTGATGGAGTGCTGCAGTAGAGGCTGGCTCCACAGTTTAGCCATATAAAAATCACTAAAATCACTTATATATTCCTACGAAAGATACTTAAACAAACCGAACACATAAAACAATGAAATACTAATGCAAATTAAACTCATATATGTGTGATTATCAATCCCTCTAATTCATTTTTTTCTCTTGGATTTCAATATTATATGCTCCGGATTCTCCTTGCCTCAGCTTTTTTTAGATTATCCATCTTTATTCTTATAAAACAGAAATCAGTCGGTTTTGACAAAAAAAAAAAAGCAGAAATCAGTCGGTAAATATATGTTTGACATGTGTCTTTTACTTTTTAAAATCAATTTTCATTCTTTATTTTTTAGAAAAAGTTAATTAAAACTTCTTTTAAATAAATAATTGAATATAAACTGATTTTCAACAGATCATCTCAACCACCCACGATCTTCTTTATCTGTCCACGATTCTCTCTCTCTCATATTTCTATTTATCTCAGATCGGAGAATTCTCGGTCAATCAAAAATACGAAAGTTCATTCTCCCTTATCTTCGACTTTAAACCTATAATCCAAATTTGAAGAATCTGGTAGATCTAAGAATGAACCCGAAGATATTTCAAGGTATGATCTGGTAGATCTGAGAATCAACGAAGATATTTGAAAGTAAGATCTGATAAATTTGGTATTTTTGTCTCTAGAATTTCAATGTTTAGATTTTCATCAAGAAAAAATGGTTTAATCTGAAATTGGTTTAACAATACAGTTATTAGAAAAATCTGAAATTTGAAAACAGCATTATTCTTAACTTTTTTTCTCTTTTTGTGTCTTCAAATTTGTATGTGCGACTATTCATATGTACATGTGATCTATAACTTTGTTTTCAAATCAACATATCATTTTACAAAAATGACAATTAAGTCCGATTTAATCCAGTTGTAATGGGAGACTTTGCATGTTTGTCCCCAAACTTAGTAGATATTTATACTGAAGGAATTACTGGATCTCATCTCCATTTGTTACTGTTCCCTTTCCTTTTTGCAGTTATGCAATTGTCTTTAGATGTTTTTGTTTTTTAACACTTTGTTAACTTAATTGTCATGTTTCAGACGTTACAACTGAATCAGAAATGAAGAAGAAATATTCATCAGCTTTTGGCATTCCAAAAAGTTTTAAGAAGCTATGGAAGTTTTGAATACCAACAAGGAGTTTCAGCCAATAGCACCACCAACCTAAGAGAAGTCGAAGTGAATTACTGTTTTGAAGCCTTTAAGACCATTGATGATGATGAAAAATTAGGAAACGAAGCAGCCATAAAACTTTAGATACAATGGATCATGGAGCCCACTCATCTAACCCACAACACATCTTCGAACTAAGTAAATAAAATAAAAGAATTATATAAAGTAATCCAGTGTGTATGTTTAAAAACAATTTTATTAAGTATGTGCATTTGAAATATTTCAGAAAGCATTTCGTAATATATGTTAGTTAATCTGTGAATATGACAAAACAGAGTAACTGTTTTACTAACGAAAAATTATTAGATCGATAGATCCAAACACAATATTAAACATTTTATTTTCAGTTTAATGATAATCAAGTTTTTTTCTCGTACGCAGTACGGGATGAATACTAGTATCAAATAAAATAGAAGATTAGTTTAAAATGTTGAGCTTAAACTACAAGCACATGACAAAAAGCATCTACATATTAAAACCTTTTTGTTAATTATATTTTTGGTCTCTTTTTCTTTTGTTTTTTTCACAACAATAATGATTGTAATTGCAGAAAATAAATAATACAAAAAATAATTTGGAAAACACTAAATTCAACGCTTATTTTATTAATTAGTATTGTAGTTATACAATACAATTCTTGTGATTACAATTGTACTGGTATTATGTAATTCTAGCTCTAGATTGTCCTCAAAAGATTTCTAATTCTAAACACATTTTACAATATCACACAGCCCATAAATCAAGAAAAAGACACGAACCTTCCCACTTCTACTTTCTGTATGAAGCTCAAAGATGACCTCGATCAATTGCAGCGCAAAGATTTTGTTACCTTGGGGCCGAAATCCTATTTATATTCCTTATCGAACGTATGCATACACAACTTTTATACAGTTTTGAGAAAAACGTTTTTTTTTCGTTTTATACAGTTTTGAGAAAAAAAAAGTTTCTCAAAGTATTCTTATTTGTGTGTGTTTTTTAATCACTATAAAATTTTCACTTGTTGCATATGATTTTATTGGGTTTTAACGTTTTTAGCCATCTATTATTATTTGTTTTCATTCTCACTTTAAACCATTTTTATTTGTTTATAGCCATCTATTTTTATTTTTATTTGTTTTCATTCTCATTTCCATATTTTTTTCCATATATATATCTACATACTTAAATTAATTGCATTGCTCTTTTAAGCATGAAAATAGTATAAATACGAGTAAAGTTCAGCTTTATAACAAAAAAAACTCTAGTAAATTTCATCAAATGACCAACAAAGTTTTTGGTTACTATAGTTGTTCAGGAGCAAATTTTCGGATGCTACATGGAGGTGTGTGACTTGTCGGGATCGGAGTTAAGCCTCTGAGTTTCGTCTTTTAGGGGAAAGGCGGCGAGTCGTCGTTCTGGGGTGGAAGCTTCTTGTCCTAGGGCGATGGGATGAACGCTGTGCTCGGACTTGTTAACACTTAAGCAAACGTCAGACAAGTCTTCGGTGTGAATAAACAAAGAACAGAGTTTTAGACTGAAATTTCAATGTTATTCAACTTGATTTCTTTTCTTACAAAGAGGTTCCTTTTATACACTTCAAGGAACTCTCTAGATCAGGTTAGGATCTGATTACAAGTGTCGAACATCTAGCTATTCCCTAAAAATAAGAGAGAATCAAATTTGTTATTCAGTACAATCGTACAGTTTTCTCCTGCTGGTTTTTCCGTTCTACTTTTCTGTACAATCGTACCTTTGTCTTTTGTTACAGAGGAAGAAGACGACCGTTGTTGAGTAATAATGGGCTCGATTGCTTTCTTCGTTTGTATTGGGCCTTGGTCTTCATTTGCATTCTGGCCCAATGTGATTGTTTCACTTTCATCCCCCCGCAAACTGATGATGGGAGAAATCCCAACATTCAGTTTGGATCGCAAATGTTGGAATGATTGACGAGGGAGAGATTTAGTGAAGATATCTGCAAGTTGTAGAACAGAAGGAATGTGTTGAATTTCTAGAACACCAAGAGCCACCCTCTCACGAACATAGTGACAATCAACTTCGATGTGTTTGGACTTGCTGTGAAGAACTGGATTCGCCGATAAATGCACGGCTGACAGATTATCACATCGAAGAATAGCAGGCGTAGACTGAGGGATCCCCAAATCACGAAGAACCGCTGAAATCCAAGTTAGTTCAGAGGCAGTGGTTGCAAGTGCCCTGTATTCGGCCTCTGTAGAAGACCGAGAGACTGTCGCTTGTCTTTTGGCAGACCATGAGATTATGTTGGAGCCGAGAAGAGCACAGAAACCTGTAGTTGATCTTCGTGTGTCTTGACAGCCCGCCCAATCACTATCGCTGAAAGAAACCAAATCCAGATTACTGTTTCTGGAGAAGTGAAGACCCATATTTGATGTTCCTCGGAGATAGCGGAGAATGCGTTTTAATAAACCAAAATCCGATTCAGTGGGAGAGTGCATCCGTTGACAGATGAAATTGACTGCAAACTGTATATCAGGCCGAGTAATCGTAAGATACTGTAACTTCCCAGCAAGACTTCGAAAATAGCTTGGTTCCGAGAATAATAGTTTGTCGCGGAAGACGTGATCAAGCCGTAACGGTAGAGGAGTGTACATCGGGTTGCAAGTTGACATGTTGGCATGGTGAAGAATTTCTTCAACATACTTCGTTTGACTGAGAAACAGACCATTAGCGTGAGATTGAGCCTGAATTCCAAGGAAGTAGTGAAGATTACCCAAGTCTTTCATGGCAAATCGATTACTGAGTTCTTCAATTAGGGAATTGAAAAGGCTTGGATTGGAACCAGTAAGTAGAATATCGTCGACATATAATAGCAATACCAAAGTATCTCCATTGTGATGATACACAAAGAGGGAAGGATCAGCTTTACTGCAAATAAAACCGTACTCAATCAAAAAGTGACTGAATTTGTCAAACCATGCCCTCGGAGCTTGTTTAAGACCGTAGAGGGCCTTTTTTAGTGAACAGACATGATTAGGACGAACCAGATCTTCAAACCCTGGAGGTTGTACCATAAAGACGGGTTCATGTAGTTCACCATGAAGAAAAGCATTCTTTACATCAAGTTGAGTGATGTTCCAATCCTTCGCAGTTGCAACAGCAAGAACAATCCGAATAGTGGATGTTCGAACCACCGGGCTGTAAGTTTCGATAAAATCTACACCTTCTTCTTGAGTAAATCCCTTGGCAACAAGTCTTGCTTTGAGTTTGTTAAGTGAACCATCAGCATTTAGTTTGACTGTGAATACCCAACGACACCCTAGAATAT